GTGTTAGGGTTTCATTTCATTGTCTGATTTGCCAAGACCGTGTAGGTGTGACCCCGTAGCTAACTCAAGCAGATGGGTCATTGTGAGACTGTGTTAAAACGACCAATTTTTAGCTATTATTGTTTTATAGTCCTTTAAACGTTAAAACAGCCACTTGGTTCAGCATTAGAATATTAACACATCATCTATAACAACCACACTTAATAATTCTGTACGTTAGCATGACGTTTTACAGTTAATGCATTTTGCCGTACCACATCCCATTTGACGATGGGCCAGCAGTTCATTGTAAGGGCGTTACGTATCGCCAGCATCTTATCCTTAATTTCTGTCGATTTGCTTTTCCGTAGGTTGCTTTGGTTGCGATAAACATCATTGGAGACCCTGCAGATTTCAGTGATGAAAGCAATATTGTAAGTTTGGAAAGTTTCACTCCTAAAGAAGAGAATTTATTTCTGGTGGGAGGGGGCCTTTATTTTTGTCACAAAAAAGTATCATCTTAAAAATCGTTGTAAAATGGGCTTTGTTTTACTCACGAATTGAGGCCATCCCTCCAAAAGACGAGGGTCATCGACGCTGCCAACATCTTTATACCAAGACGTCTCCCCCTAAGGCTGCTTGCCATCGCCTCTCAGAGACTGAGCAGACCTTTTTGTTCCCAAAGGCCTCTAGAAAGAAGCTGATCGACCATTATATAGGGCACAACTCGGAGGACCCCGCGCTGGAAGGGACCTGCACCGGGTAGGAGCCCCACCCTGAGGCAGTCGACTCCTGTGGCTCCTCAGATTCGCGGAAGCGCGCGTCACCTCGAAGGGCGCCTAATCCCAGGGCCTTCGCAGGCAGCTTAGCGCGGTCAGCCAGGGGTGAGGCTGTCTTAGATACGCTCCGAGATTAAGGTCACTGTTTTGTTCAGCACGTCTTCATTTATTGTTCTTCAGAGGCGACTTCATTTCTTGAGCATGCAGGTGTTACTAGAAAGTTCCTGAAATGCGTTCGGAAGAGTCCCCCCAGCCATCCCTTGATAGTTATCCGCACAGGCACGTGCACAAGTAATAACTAAAGGTATTAACTGACCCACATCGTCAGCTACTAGAGACTTTATTTCACGTCTTCTTTAAAACTGTAAGGGAGCGAGAACTCCGTGCCCTGTTCATTTGCGTGCACAGTGCTGACCGGTCCCTCTCCATGCGCCTCCGTCCCCTGCCTCCTGCCACGGCCACGTTCGGGGGCTCGGTGGGCAGGGAGGGGCAAGCTAAGGAGTTAAGTTCGCATGGCCCTTGGCACCCTGTGTCCCTGGGGCACTTCCGTGGGATGGAGAGCACCCTCCGCACCTGCCCGCTGTCATTAAAGCAGGAGGACCCCGCTGCAGAGGTGCCGGTCTGAGAGGGGTCAGGATGATGCCCAGCCCCCTTCTCTGACCTCGGCTTCCCAAAGAGGGGAAAGGTAGGACGCTGCGGTGTCAGCAGAGGCCCGGGCGGGCCCGCAGCCTCCGACACACTCCACTCCCGCTGCGTGGAGTCAGAGTCGCAGCCCTGATGCTGTGGCCTCCGCCTCCGCCGCTCCCGGCCTGCGCAGTGCAGACCGAGACTGCGCTCGCTCGGGGGCCGGCCGCGCCGACATGCCCGCGGACGGTGCGCCTGGCTCCCAGCCGAGGCCCCGTCCCCTGTCCCTGCAGGCCTGCCCTTCAGGAGTGCCCCTTGGCCTGAGGGGACGGGCAATGTCCATCATCAGAACTTGTGAGAAAAGCCATTTGCCTCACCTGCACCAGCGCCCCACCCCCACCCCCACCCAGGCCCTGCCTGTGCCCCCTGGAGGGTCAGCCGCCTGCTCACCTCCGGCGGTGGGGGTGGGGGGTCGGATGCTTTGGGGACAAGCGCTGAGCAGAGGTGCTCACCCACTTCTGACAGTGTGTCACTGTGACGGCACCGCCGCCCTGCTGTGGGGCAGGGACAGCCAAGTGCACTGACAGCTCGGTGTCTCCAGTGAAGGTCGTTTAGGTTGTGTCCATTGCTGTCAGAGTCAGTTCTCTGTGCGGTGGGCCAGGGGGTGGCCGACTGCAGGCTGCCTGTCCCGCCCCATCCCACGGGGCTCCCGGAAGCAGGGGCGTCCCCGAGAGGCTGTGAGTGCCACGGCCATGTGGTGCTGGACGCGGCATCCCGCAGTTCCCGCGAGGGCGGCCTGTGGAAAGTGGGGAGACCTGCTGTGTCGGGCGATCCCCTGGGGTCCTGACGCGGATATCCCGTGACGTCACTTTTCTCTGTGGGACTTTCACAGTGAAATGAAGACTTTGTTTTCATCTCTGGGACTTCAGGGCAGAGTGACTTGGACTTGAGTGTGGTCTGCATTTTGGTAAAAGGTGATCTTGTAGGTCTCGTAGGTGCGGTAGGACACGTCACTGTGTAGTCATCGTGGAGACGGATACCGTTTGAGGCTGCCCAAGCTGCCCTGGCCACTGCGGCTGGTGTCACTGCTTGGGGCAAACTGCCTGCATTCAGAGGGGTAGTGCGTGTGTGTGTGGGGGGGGGAGTGCTTGGTCATTGGAAAGGTGACGTGGCCCCATGTCGTGTTTGAGTTTGTTAGTGTACAAGTTTACCAACCGACTTCTCACGGCAAATAACAGTGTAATTAAAACCTAACTCTGAATAAAGACGTCCACGTTGAGCTACCACGTGGCTCCCTCCCTCCCAGGAGCTGGTGGAGCAGGTAGGGCGACACCGAATCCTGCCCCGTTAACACCTTGCTGCGTAGCTAGGCCGGTGTCCCGTCCTGATGCTGGGCCCAGAGGAGCGCCAGGGCTGCCGTAGACCTCGAAGGGGAGGACGGGGTGAGGCTTAATCAGCCGGGGCCCGGCCCGGTACCTAAAGGGTCATTTATTCTCAGAAGGCTTTCTCTGGTCACCTGCAGACTCGGTGCTGGTGACAGTGTTTGACACTTTGGGGTACAGTCTAGTAGAAGCGAATCTTTAGTGTTTGTTGCAGTTTCCGTGGCACAGGTGTGAACGCCTGGACTCCCCTTGGCCCGCCAAAGCGCACTCTTTGGGGTGAGGCTCAGTTGCCATTGGTTTGGGGTCTGTTTTTCCCCATCTACAAGTGATTCGCATACACGTCATGTCCCCTGTGCCCAGCACAGCACCTGGCACAGTCTGCGCTCCGAGTAGGTGTGCAGTGACTGAACGAGTGCACGTGGCCGTGACCCCCACGCGCGGTGAGACAGGCCTCGGGGGCACAGCCGTGGAGTTGGGGACCCGCTCGCACTGACGAGCCACATGGCCTGAGCTAGCGTCTGGCTGTCGCTGTCCAGCACGGTAGCCCCACGTAGACAGGGATACCTCTGAAACGTCCGTGTCTCTCCTTCAGGAAATCCGACTACATCTCTCCACTGGACGACTTGGCTTTTGACATGTACCAGGACCCCGAAGTCGCTCAGATCATACGCAGATTGGATGAGAGGAAGCGGGAGGCCGTGCAGGAGGAGCACTACGACTACGCCAAGAAGCTGAAGCAGGCCATCGCCGACCTGCAGAAGGTACTGCCGCGGGAGCGGCCTCTGCGGCCCGCGCCAGATCCTCACGCCGCCCCTGCCGCCCCTCTCCCCGCGGCCGGCCCATGCCAGATCCTCGCGCTGCCCCCATCACCCCTCTCCCCGCGGCCAGCCTGTGCTAGATCATCGCCCGCCCCGCCATCCGTGGCGGGCCCGTATTAGTCTCGTTAAGGGAGCGGGTTATTGGGAGTCTTGGAGCTCAGCGTGGGGTCACAGAGCTAAGCAAGCAGTCGTGGCCCGTGAGCGCCTGAGTGAGCTTGTGGCGCAGCCCGTGCCGCGCCTCCTCAGCCTCCCTTCAGACGTCACCTCCAGGCGCCACGTTGCCATCAGAATGATAGAAGCACACCAGACACCAGAGACGTTTTAAACGTTGCTGCGACCTCAGCAAGCAGCGTGCGCTTTGCAGGGAGTGTGGCCCGCCCTCCGCCTCCTGCGCCGTCCCCCAGGGTGACGCACAGGCGGCCATCTCCCTGTCGCTCAGGCGTCACCTTCGCAGTTACCTTCGCCCTTGGGCAGGTTGGCCCTGTGGGAAACAAACGCTGCGCTGCTGTGCCCCAGGTCGGCGAGCGGCTCGGCAGGTACGAGGTGGAGAAGCGCCGGGCCGCGGAAGAGGAGGACTACGACCTGGCCAAGGAGAAGCAGCAGCAGATGGCGCAGTTCCGCAGCAGGGTGTACGAGCAGCTGCAGCTGCACAGCCTGCTGGACGCCGAGCTGGTGGGTGCGCGGGCCCCCGGCTGCAGGTGGGGGGCCCGAAGCCCATGAGCACTGGCCATGCTCGCAGAGCTGGGGGCCTGCGGGCCGTAGGACCTCGCCCAGCTTGGGTCCCAGTCCCGCTCGCCAGCTGCAGCCCCGTGCGCCCGCGTCAGGGAGCGCTGGCCATGCCGTGCTCCGGCCAGACTCACGGTACAGGACAGGAAGTCGGGCACGGGGGAGGTCTCTGTTCGGCTGCTGTCCCCAAAGTCACAGTTCCTCGCCTGTGACAAGGACGTGCCCCGGGGAGAGCGGAGGGAGATACCCTCGGTGGCAGCGGCTGGTGGAGAACGCGCTTCACGGGGTGTGTGGCCTCCGTTGTCACTCCCCACTGGGCAGGTGGCATACTCCCACGTTACAGGCCAACGGCCAGGCCCAGGGCCACAGGCGGCGTGGCTGAGCGTGTGGACTCTGGAGCTGACTGCCAGAGTCCAGGTCCATGCCCCGCCCCCCTGGCTCTGTGGCCTCAGACTAATTCCTTAGCCACTCAGTGCCTCAGTTTCCCTGGCCCGTTTACCAGGAGGGTAAGAATGGTGAGGGTTAAATGAGACGCTCTGTCTAACGCGCCTTCAGCCCAGCGCCCTCGCTCGCAGTGATGCTGCGGTGACACGGCGCCCTGCTTCTGCGGGCGTGACAGCAGTGCCGGGTGTCGCTCACGGGTCCCGGGCCCGGCCGCACGGGTGCGCCCCCCCCCGCTGCAGTGCCTGCTGCACAAGTGCTCGCTGACACTAGCCTGTCTGTGTCGCTGTGCAGTCCGCGCAGTGACCTGCAGATGCAGCCGAGGGGACGTGGAGTGACTGCGGGACTGTAGTGCGATGGCCAGTCTGCCTGCTCACGCCCCGGCCCACAGGGCCGTGAGGCGGGTGGGTCTGCTGCGGCCGTGGCATTGGGAGTGAGTGTCCCTTTCTTCCGCAGATGCGACGGCCTCTTGCTCTGCCTCTCCAGCCCCTCGTTCGTTCTGGCAGTCCCCGTCACCAGCAGCCAGCGCGCTCCCCACCGCAGGGGGAGAGAGTGACAGAGAACCGGCCTGCAGAGCCTTTCCTCCCGGACCAGCTCTCGGCGCAGCCTCCAGACGCTTCTCCGCAGCACCGCACCGCAGACCAGTCCCCGCCCGCCCCGCACCCGCGTCTCAGGACCCGCGTAGGTGGCTTGGTTTCGGGCCTTGTGCGTTTTATTAGCACATCTGCAGGGGGGCGCATAGTGCTGGCTGCTATCCCAGGGCGAGGGGTGTATTCGGGTTCAGAACAGCCAAACCCCTTCTTGTCCTGCCTTCCGGGAGAGGCAGGTAAATGTTGAAGCCAGGATGTGCTGACGTAAGTGACCAGCACGCAGTCACGCCTCACGTGGGCCCCATCCGCAGCCCGACGTGCCAGGCCCCCATGCGCTCCGGCCCCCATCCGCCGGTGGTCTGGGCCACGCAGATCTCCCTGAGCCTCTGCTCCCCACACATAAAGACATGCAGACATCTGCTCGGAGGGTGGTTACGTGTCTGACGTGACATCACCTCAGAGCACTCAGTACCGGCCGTGTGGCTGCCGTGCCCGGTAGGGCCGCCTGCGTGGTGAGCAGCAGGGAGCCCGGCTCCCACCGGGGTTTACTGGCTGTGTGACTGGAAACCCAAGTCCACGTGGGCCTCAGGGCTGGTCTGATGTTGTCGGAAGCTCGGTTTCTGCCTATCTTTTAACCCTGTTCGTCGTGGTCCCGAGTCACCCTAGGACTGGCAGCTGTCACATGGCCCTCCGCTTCAGGTCTGAGGGGAGAACACATCCCATTCTAAGCAAAAGTCCCCTAGTTAACGCTAATTAGCTCGGCCTCAGTCACAATGCAGTTTCTGCTGACGTGCGGCCGTGCGCCCAGTGGGCCGTGGGGTGGAAGGCAGGACGCCCGGTGGACACAGGCACGTGCCTGCTGCAGCCAGAGGCCTGAGAAAGCGAGAGAGGACCACTGCTGCCATGGCCACCCCACGGCACGCCTCTGCGCGTCACTGGTGACGTCTCGTTTGTGACCTGATCGTTAGAAGTTATAATCAGTACTTCACTTTAAAAACATTCTAGTTTCTCCTTTTTTAGTATCGGTCTTGTTTTACAACTATGAGCAAACATTACATCGTGAGAAACTTAATCTCACGTGTGACACGCACTTAATCTTTAGTCATCCCAGTGAGTGTTAATTGTGAATAAACGGTGATCCTCGTCTGTCCAGCATCACCGTGGCACTGACCTCTGAGACGACGCAGGAAC